AAGCACCAGGTTCATCCGAACCCAATATTTTTGACGCAAAGCATATATTTATGTGTGAAAATCTTCAAAAACTGCAACAAATAGCAAGTAGGCCTGAACCAATAATTTCAAAAATACAACGGGTTCAACGCTAAAAACTTAAAAGATTGAACTCATAAAACTTAAATCCTAAATTCGCCTCTGCCTGTATCTTCTAGAGGTTAGAACCATTGTAATTCATGCAAAAGTTCTACTATCTTTTTAATTTAACGTTATAAATATTGCATTAGGAGAAAGAACGCAGTGGTGCACAGTTACAGAAATAGTTTCTCAGGATTTGCAGCACGTTTATCAGATGCTGAAGCTCAGTCGATTGCTCAGCAACCCGGAGTTATCTCTGTTTTCCCTGATCCAGTATTTCAACTCCACACAACGCGGTCATGGGAGTTTCTAACGGATCAATATGATCTGGTACACAGTTTCCCTAATAGTTCTGGTTCAAACTCAACCTCAAAAGGAGCAGACACCATAATTGGGATTTTTGACACGGGTAGGAATCAAAATGCAAACTTTTCTTGCTCTTTGTTTATCCTTTATGACACTAATAAAACAATGTATCTCATACTATGTTTAGGAATATGGCCTGAATCAGAGAGTTTCAATGACAAGGGTATGGGTCCAGTCCCATCCCGTTGGAAAGGCACTTGCACCAAAGGTTATGATTTCAATTCTTCCAGCTGCAACAGGTAAAGGTCTTAGTTGAGTAATGTCCCATATGGACTATGTAAAGTTTTCTAAAGTCTTATAGGCAGGGGGTGCAGCCTTCAGTTACCAAGTTCATATGATACGTTCGATGTAGTGTACAAATTTATGTGTAAACTGTAAAGTCCACTAAAATTGCAATAAGATAATAGATATGAACTCATAACTTTAAAAATATAATGGTTCAATGCAGTGGCGGAACTAAGTAGTGTCAAGGGGGTTCAAACCAAACCCCCTTGGCCTTGACACTGGACAAATAGAGTAAAAATGATTTTTTTTTAATTATATATGAGATATTGAATCCCCTTGACATGAAAAATTCAAATATAATAGTAAAGGGGGTTCAAAACTGCCTTAAGTCAAAGGTTCAAGTTCTAACTGTGATATTGTAGAATATTTTGAATCCCCGTGTACAAAACTTTGGTTCTGCTACTGGTTTAATGCTAAAAACATGCAAAAATTGAACTCATAAATCTTAAATCCTGGACTTGACTCTGCTTATATAGAGTCCTTGGGCACCTCTATCTTTTGTTTTAGTTTGGATGTGATGTTCAGATTTATTCCCTGGTCAGCCAACTAAGTACCTAGATAGACATAAAAGATAGCCCGTCATCATATCAGTTTATGATAAGACGTTTCACTATCTACATTCATGGATATATATTAGGAAACTGATTGGTGCAAGGTTTTACGATGACGCTGGCGACTCAGCAACACCTGTTACAGGGACACCTAGGGACCATGACGGACATGGTACACATGTTGCAGCTACAGCAGCAGGGAGTCCAGTGGCAGGTGCATCCTATTATGGGTTAGCAGCAGGAACAGCCAAGGGTGGTTCACCAGGGTCAAGGATTGCAGTGTACCGTATATGCACGCCTTATGGATGCAGTGGATCGGCCATTATGAAAGCATTTGATGATGCCATTGCAGATGGGGTTGATATCATAAACTTATCAATTGGTCAACCAGCTGGAGCAGAGTTCGAGTTTTCAACAAATCCTATTGCCATTGGAGCTTTCCATGCTGTAGAGAAGGGCATTTTTGTCGTCGCCTCTGCTGGAAATGATGGCCCTTTACGAGAAACTGTTGTCAATGTTGCTCCTTGGATTTTCACAGTTGCTGCTACAACTATTGACAGAAACATTGAGACACATATTCCCTTGGGCGGGAACAAGCTGATTAAGGTACTCAAAAGAAAAACACTGTTATTCTAAACACAAGCTATCTTTTCAAGGACAACTCTCAATAGTACCCTTGTTGATTTTCAGGGTGGAGGTATTAGCTTTAGTAATCTCAAGAAATCTCCAGTCTATCCGTTGGTGGACAGTAGATCTGCAAACTTAACTATGTATGACGGGGACGCAAGGTAATTGGAAGATTGAAATACATTAGTTCCCATTTCTGGGGTCTACCTAGGAAATAGAACTGTACATACCTGCAACTAACTTTAGGTAAATTTCAGTAACTGTGAACCAGATACACTCGACGAACACAAAGTCAAGGGTAAAATTGTTGTTTGTTATCATCTCACTGATGATTATTCAATCGAAGATAGGCTAAATGAAGTAAAGAACAAGAGTGGCATTGGATTTATATTAATTATTCCTGATGATGAACTCATAGTGGCACCCAATATGGGATCCTTCCCAGGGGCAGTAATCACTCAACGTGATGGCGTGAAGATTCTTTTGTACCTCAACTTGACAAGGTACTCACTTTACTTATCAAGAAGCACTTGATGTAACATAGAAAATTGCTAAACATAGAAAATTTCTAACTGCACCTTCATATTTTCTAAAGGAACCCAGTGGCAACAATTCTACCAACTGTTAGTGTAGATAATTTCAAACCAGCTCCTGTTGTGGCTTTCTTCTCATCAAGAGGCCCTGCATACAACACTCGAAACCTCCTAAAAGTAAGCACTCCTTATTCATTTTTCCCCCCAATTTAGACCATTGCTCGATTTTTGTCCCTTGCGCAGGGCCATGCTAGTCTTTTTTTTCTAACTCTCAATTTTATTGGATATCTCCAAAGGAAATGTAAGGACTCGTACTACTTACATACAAATGTTAGAAGTCAGAACCAACGCTCCACAGCAGATTTCTAGTAGATCACATACTGAATGGTTTCTGACATGTACTTGCAGCCGGATATTGCAGCACCAGGGACTGCAATACTTGCAGCTTGGCCAGCAAATGACACAGAAGTGGCTCGGTCTGGCCAAGAACCACCACTATTCAACTTCCTCTCAGGGACTTCTGTGTCTTGTCCTCATGTTTCTGCTATTGTTGCAACACTGAAATCTCAAAATCCCACCTGGAGTCCTTCAGCAATCAGATCAGCTATAATGACCACAGGTAGCAACCTGATAATAGTTAAAGTATGCCGATGCCACCACTGCTAACTCTTATGAAAATAGTCTTATTCTCTTCTTCTTTTTTCGCTCTTTTCTTTTTAATAGCTTTTCAGGAAAGTAACTTGAAGACTCCAATGTTAGTCAACAGTGCATATGGAGAATACCTTGCCAACCCATATGACTTTGGTGCAGGAGTAGCAACTACGTCAGGGCCACGGGAACCAGGCCTGGTTTATGAGACTGAGATCACAGACTACTTGTTATTCCTCTGCTCTGCTGGTTATAACACATCAACAGTTAAACTCATCTCAAAGACAGTTCCAGACAGTTTTTCATGCCCTACCAACTCAAGTGCTGAATCAATGTCTAACATGAACTACCCATCAATAGCTGTTTCTATGTCCAAGGAAAGAGAAACCAAGCAAGTTATCAGAACTCTAACTAACTTTGGTGAAGAAAAAACAGAATACACGGCTATCATAGCAGCACCAGATGCATTGAGAGTCCGAGTGCATCCAAGCACATTGAAATTTACAAGTAGCACGAAGAAACTGAGCTTTCAAGTGACTTTCAAAGCAACATCTAGAGAGAGAGAATATTTTGGATCAATTACATGGACCAATGGTAAGTACAAGGTTCGAAGTCCATTCGTTGTCTCCTATTGGTAACATTATCAAGCATCTGCTACTTAACCAGTCCGACAAATGGGTTTATGCAATGCAATGCATCCATGAACGTTGTGTCAAAAATGTATTTGTAACTCATATGAATCATGAATAAAAGGTTCTCAATAGAGAAACTGTATCTATCTCATAATATTCTTTTTCAATAAGTATATATTTCATGATATTACTTAATACAGGTGGCGTAACTGGTAAAGTTGCTGCCATGTGACCAGGAGATCACGGGATCAAGTCATGGAACAGCCTCTTGTAGAAATGCAGGGTAAGGCTGCGTACAATAGACCTTTGTGTCCGGCCCTTCCCCGGACCCTGCACATAGCAGAAGCTTAGTGCACCGGGCTGCCCTTTTTTTTTTTTACTTAATANTAGTGCACCGGGCTGCCCATTTTTTTACTTAATACAGTACCTTCCGCGGTAATAAAAGAATCTAAACAGAAGCAATAACTGATGAGAACAAAAAGATGGAAACTTCAAGGTAAATGCACATGAATGCACTATGCGGCAAAAAAAAAGAGAACTTCGGGACAACATTAACTCCAAGAGAAAAGAAGAAACAAAACAAAGCCAAGCAATGCCATACCAATAAAAAGTCCAACTTTTATCAACTATATAATGGAGAAAGCAACAAATACATCTCAGAACCAAAAGGAAGTTATTCTATGGAAGATAAGAGATTTTAGTTATAAGGATTCTTCACCACAGAGAGAACCTGTTCCCTGAGAACCTCATTTCTTTCCTTCAGGTGTGAAGTTGTTCTTATTGTTAAATGTCGCTTGCATCCATGTTTCAGATTTTAAAGTGCCGGAATATATCATTCGATTGACTATTTTATATTATACAATATAGACATTTCATTTCTAATTATCGAAGGTAGAGATAAATTAATTTAAGGATACATCACAATGTTCATAATATACTTATACTAGTTTCTCCTTAGGCGACAGTAACAGAAAACTAGTTAGAGGAAGTAGTTTTGTCCATCTCTCATTTTAGCAATCGAAGAAAAGTATCCAAAACTTTGCTTATTATTTTTCCTATCATCCGTTCTAGTGGCAGCATTCCCTGATCTATTGTGTCACCCGTTCTAGTGGGAGCATTCCGACTTTGCTTCATATTGCAGATATTGTGTTAGACATTTTATATGATTTATATAGTTAGCGTGTACAACTGTAGCGTGAACAATCATAGAGTAGTACAGCTATTGGATTCCAACTAAGTGCACAAACATGATTTTCTTTCAATCTCAAAAACACAAATGCCATAACATATGGCATGTAATGAACAGAAATGAGATGTACAGAGTTGCAAAGTTTTTCAGACTACAGACACATGCTGTGTAAGAAATAAAGCTCCATCAATCAAGATCCAGAGATGAAGCAACTGATGAAGGACGATTGGACGAAAATGCAGTGGTTTTGACCTTGCTTCTGATGTTTGTAAATTGCAGAGGTTACAGAAAGCAAATCCTGGTCTTGATTGGATCCATGTTTATATGAAACTATTGACATACTTTTTAAGGATCTGATCAACAAGGATCCTGTAACCTTTTTCCGTGGGATGGTAACTATCCCAAAATAAATATTTTGTGTCATCTTCACATGTTCCACTGTATTTGTTGCACAGTATTACCACCTCTATGTTTCCAGTACCACAGCATCCTCTATCTACTACTTCAAATCCTGACATCATTCATATTTTATAGGAGGTCAATTTCAACGATACACTCAACAGAAGAAAAATTAAAAATTACATTTTATGGTTTTGAGTTGTTGATGGTGATAAATAGATCATTTCTTTTTTCGGAATATGTGAATAACTTTTTGATCCAAATTTTAAAAAAAAATTTACATGGCCTTTAATAATCTTGAGTCAACCCTTATACCCCAACCCCTGGCTACCTTGATGAGTCCCATCGGGAGCTATATTCATTCTCGCAGGCGATATCCACAATCTCCTTCTCAAACTCTCTCTCTCTCTCTCTCTCTCTCTATATATATATATATATATATATATATATATATACACACACACACACACACATATACTTATACAACCACCGACTTAAAATAGATCCACGCTCAATTCACCGCCTTCCTAATAATATGCTTAATGGAAATTTGCACTGTAGGTTATGAGCTGCTAAAGATTAAGAGCCTAGAGTACCAAATAGTTCCTACGTAAATCATATTCAAGATTGAAGATTATCAGAGGTAAGACAAACTTGATATACAATTTAAAGAACCCCAAGCAATCAAGAAATTTGACTTTAGTGAAGATTTGCATTTACCATGTTTTTGAGGGTTGACAATGAGATCAAGCAGAGAACTGTAGATATCAACGAAAACCAACTTGCTTTGAAGGAGATTTTTGGACAATGAATCAATTGCAGCAGAGAGCTTAGTGTTGGCTAATTGTGCAGCTTGATTGTATTCCTCTGAACACTCTCTTGATTTACCTCCACCTAGTGTTCTCTGGGAAGGCAAACACCCTATGGGTGGAACTCCAAAAATCGCTATTTTTCTTGCTCCCAATTTGTATAGTTCCTTCCAAAAGAAAGAAAAAAAGATTGACAAACATTAACTGACTGATCACCTTAGAAATTTTGTTTACTAAAAATACAGATAATAAAAATGAGAATAAGGTGATGCACCATATGTAAAATGTAATATGTATTAGGTAACGCTCATAATTGTGAAGACACATGTATTCGTCCATTATAAATTGAGCATTCTATAGGTGGCTCAATTCTTCAAATTTACAATACTAAAATACGTAGAGCCACTGATTAGATATCAGATATATTTGGCTTCGAGAATCACATAATATTCATAATCAATCTTTCTCATTCACATAATCAATAATTTAGTCAGAAAAGTTTATTTTAGATTAGTGAATTTTTGGAGTTATGAGCTCTCAGATTAATTATTCTAGGTGGAACAACATGCTTTTCATTCATTTGCAAACATCACAAGTTTAACTACGAATTGGTCATGCTGAATAATTGTGGCACAACTAAGTTTAACTATTGGATTATAAGAATCACTTTTTTATACTAGAATTACTACTTCTTCCATTTTAATATGTTTGACACTTCACATTTATCAAGGATTGATTAATCTGGCCATAGCTAGTTAATTGGATCATTGCAATTAAAAGAACCTACGCATTTAGGAATTAGAATACTCCTTTATGTGACACGCTTTTCTTCTTAGTCTGTACAAAACATAATACCACATTTTTATATTTGGAAACAATTTAACTTAGGCTTTCCATTTTAGTCTTATGAGAATCTTTTACAGCCATACACATGTTATGATATGTTTAAGACCGCATGTTTCAAAAGTCCAATTTTTTCCGAAACTCCTAGAGTCAACCTATGCCATACACTAAATTGGAACAGAGAGAGTAATTAATACTCATGTTTGGCACTTCTCATTTATCAAGGACCATTTCTCGATTTGTGCATGTCATCCTTGCGCAGGGGCCATGCTAATCTTATCTTTATCGTTCCAATTTTATAGGATGTCTCCGAGGGGACTTTCATTTATCAAGGAACGATCAATTTAACCCGAGCAAGTTAATAATTATTGCAATTAAAAAACCTACACATTTAGGAAGTAAAATTAAAGAGAGTAAATATAATTAAGATGATGAAATAGGTGAACGTACTTGGATAAATTCAGAAGCTCCGGCGGCCATAAGATCAGTGTATCCGTTAACATCATACTGCAGCCGGCGAATTCCGACGGTGAAGTAGGTGTTGGCCAGGTCATCGCTTCCGGCTACCACTAAGAAGACGCTATTCCTCAATATGTCGTTCGCTTCTTCTTCTCCAACTAATTGCTTCAGCTTCCCGATGTATTCTCTAAAATGATCTAATTGTGTTGATAGAGGAATCACTGACTGAAATTTCCAAAATAAAGCGGGAATTCAAATTGTTAGTTTCCACTTTCCACAATTACAGTACCCTCAATCCAAAACAGAAAAAAGGAGAAAGGGCCAATTGCCAATTTCGCACTTTTAGTGCTCGTTTGGACATAACAATTGTAAAATTTCGGGTAAAGAGTGGGAACAAAAAATTTACTCAAATTTGTATTATGTGCGGACATAAATATAATTTTAGGTTGTTTTTGAATTTTTGTGAGTGATGTGAAGTGAAAATTTTGAAAAATAGCTTTTTAGAATTTTTTAAATTTTCGAAAAAATTTGAAATTCATCTTCAAGTTAAAATCGAAAATTTCATGGCCTACGCTGATTTCAAAAAAAAATAAAATAAAAAAATCTTTTTTTTGGCCAAACGGACCCTTAGTTGTCCTTTAAGAGATAATAAATTAATTAAATATTTTACCATAATACTCATAATAATGATAGCATTTCAAAAAAAAAAATTGAGAAGTAATTTGGAGAAAGAGTAATTAATAATAAGGATAAAAAATGAAACTTTTTTTTATCATCCTTTTAATTGGACAAATAAAAGCAAAAATATATTTTTCGTATAGAGAACAAGTAACACTAAACAGAGGGATTATTTGAAATAGCTAGGACAATTTTGTTCTTCTTTAGCCAATTTTGTCCTGAACTATTACAATTTGGTACTCTTTCATACATAAGCAGGGATCTCGGGTTCGAGCCCTGAATATAAAGTCGTCTTTGTTAGGAATCTCTTTATCCCAAAGTGAGATTTTTTCAAATTTAGTCGAGGCCCAATACAAGTATCCGAGACCGAATGGGGTAAAGAATAGAAAGAAGATAAAATTATCTAATTCCATTATGAATTTTTGACATAAAATCTTAAATATTTCAAAAATGGAATTATATACTTAAAGATCACGTAAAAGGTTCTATAGAGTGTATGTCTTTATAATTAATAAAAACTACTTAGAAATTTAAGAATCTTTATAAGAAATTAAAAAACTACTCAGAAAATTTAAGAAAGACGAAATGAAAAAGGAACTGCATGATCTTTCAAATAATAAGTGTCATATAAAATGGATTAATTGATATAGTTTTTTATTTTATGAAAAAGATTTATACTCTACAAATTAAAGTGAGTAAAATACCACAAGGGCAGGTGTTTGAGGATCAAATCCAGTAGCTCCTGAAGCAAAGCTTACTCCAGTTTTAAGATCTTCAGCTTGCAAATTAGGATCAAGATAAGCTGGCATCAGTTCTTTAATTCCCAGTTCGTCCACTGAAATGGATAATAAAGTCAATATCAAACTCAAACTCAAACTTACAGAATTATGTTTGTAATAATTAGCAGTAAGACTTTAAATTGAATGTTCTGGTGTTATTTACTAATAACTAAAAATGTTTATACTCAGGTGACAAAAAAATCAACGGCAGAAAACTATGTAGATTGAGTATGAGTTTACACCGTTTGTACATTAAACTTATACTATTAGTTTAATGATTGAAATTGGTAAAACTTGTAAAGAGTTTATGTGGAAATTTAATTTCTGCACCAAAATAATAAGTCTTTATTTATTGAAAGAAGCTGGGAAACTAACTGTTGATAAAACGCAGGTATTATTGGGATATTTCTGAAAACGAGTCAAATATCTATACTATATTAAAAGCACGAAGGTCCTTAGCGAAATGTCGTTCGCCTTTTTTACCCTTTAAAAATAGATTTCACATTAGACAAAATTATCATTTAATTATTCACTTAATATTTAAGATTTTGAAATAAATCAAAATTTTAGCTATTAAACTTTTCCTTATTTGAATTAAGTTAAAATCCTAATATCTAGGAATTTAAAACTCATCAACATATTACGTTTAATAAAGTTTACTTTCATCTTCAATTTACTTCTACTAAAATATAGGATTGAACCAAACGATTCCATAAATAAGAAATTGGAGAAATAATTATATTAATCAAATAATGACAATGTACTATATATTTTATTCAGAGTGCAACGTTACCATGCCGATAACATGAGCAAAATAATTAATAAAAGTTGACCAAACTTTTTTTCCGTATTCTTTTCCTTGGTATAATTATAAATTATAATATATATATATATATATATATATATAATTGTAATTATATTTAAATATAGCTATGTATTTAAAAAATATGCTTAACAATTAGAATAAATAAATATGAAATATCTTTATTAATACAAAAAAAAAAAAGAGAGAGAAAAAAATAATTGGCAAAAGTCAATAGCACTAATGCTTCAGTAAATACAAAGTGCAAAAATGCGATTCTTTGATCATTTTAAAATAAAATAATCTTATTTAAAATATTTAGTTACACGAAAATATTTAAAATTCAATAAGCTAATATTAAGAATTTGAATCAACAAAAATAAATTATTTCTTAATATTAAGAATAAATATTTAAGTATTAAAGTTATTTAATTAGCAAAAGAATCCAATCTATTCTTTCCAAATTATAAACCTAAAATTATTTTTCACGCTGGCTCAAATCTTAGGGACCATAAATTTGTTTCCTCAAAAAGATTACTGGTGATGAAAGAAATTAGAGAAATAGAGCAAAATCAGTTGCAGTATAGTATTAAGAGTTAACTTGGTTAATATGCAAATTTGAATAAATGATAATGAAATAATAGAAAATAAAATTTCAAATTGAGTCATCATTAATCATTATTCTTTTTTATTTTAGTAACTAAAACCTCACTGCAAGGGTAATATTATAACCTTTTACGAAAAATAAATTTAAAAGACATAAGATTCTGTTCTTCCGTTTGTGTTATTTCAAAAAAAAAAAATTAAAATCATAATATAAGTATAGCTAATTCTATTTTTGTCTCCTTGGAAAAATTTGATAAAAATATTTTTAGAAAAGCTCTTACATCTTCAAGAGTGATGTTCTTCCTGAAAATAACAAGAAAGTATAATAACTTGTGAAATTAAGCTGATATAATTATAAAACTGGAACAAAATTTAAATACTGGATATAATTGGATGATGATTGATGGCTCCATGAGACATAGTTTCTTTTTTTATTGAGTTTGCAATATAGGATGAATATTTTGCAATTTCTAGAGCTTAACCTTTATTTATAACTAAAATATATTTTTTAAATAACATTTATGTAATTATTTTTAAAAAATTATTTATTGAGTTAGGGTACACGCGTAAAGCGCGTACCCTAAGGCTAGTTAATATAAATGAGAGAACTAGTTACCTCATAAAATAAAAGTAAAAGATATATGCACATATTCCAGTTTTACCTTGTTAGTAAAAGTTCGATTCTTCATTTCATAAATTTCTAAACCTATTTTCTGTTACCTTGTTAGTTACTAATTTGTTTTGGGCACACTCATTAAGGAAATACTAAATTCTAGACAAAAATAGTTAGTGTGACTAAACTACCCTTAATTAAATATTGCAGCATAATTTAATGTGAGAAGTAAAAGACTTTTTAGGGATACGTACATAAGGGGTAATTTTGGAAAAATGAATATTTTCTTGATTATATAAACGGACACTTATTTTGGACCAAAATAAAAAAGCAAATTGGTCACTTATTATAGACAGGAGGGAGTATCAATTTAAGAAAAAAAGCACCCTAGATTTGGCTTTCAAAAATACATTATTTTTTTTTATAAATCTTCATCTTTTAAATAATGAAAATTCAGTTGATGGGGTATAAAGAAAGCACAAATATTAATATTAAAACCTTGAGGAATTAAATTGTCAGTCACAGTCCCAATTATTTTGTATGGTTGATCATGTAGCTAGCCAATTTATTAGAGGTCTATTTCTTGCGTATTTATTTGAAAAAGACAGACGAGAAAAAAGAAAGTAATACTATATATTATATATATTATAAATTATATCCCGTAAGATCATAGAACTCTGCTCAATTATGCAGGAGAATACTTGTGTTTATTGGGGAAACGTAGTTTTGACAATATATGGGAATTATCCATGCTTTAATTTCCCATTAAATTTGCAAAATTATTTCAGCCCCGAAAAAGAAAAAGAGAGAAGGAAATTAAGCATAGGTCGTTGTACCAGAGAAAGCTATAACTGAACACTAATTACACTGTTCATTTAATTTTCGAGTTTAGCTAGAGAATAAAAATCCAAAGAACACAAAAGAATAAAGAGAGACCACTACATACTGATTCCTCATTTTGGTATTTACCCTTCTTTTTCCTTTCTTTGTGTGACATTATAGACATTATATTATATGACTCAGGAGTATCTCACTTTGACCTAATTCATTTCGACAAGCAAATTTTGCATTAGTTGAATCATTACCCATTCCTTTTGCTACTTGACCTTACTCAAATATTTGACAGTTATGAGTCTCAATTTTGACTGTCAAATTGAACTTGTCCATTTGACACCCATAGTAGAGAGCATGCATATATAGAGAGAGAGTGCGCACTTAAAGTTCCATAATAGTTTCAAATTAAAGTACTGAGTTTTCCACCTTAAACTCTCTATTCACTTCGGCCCTAGTAATGATTTAAGTGATTTTAAGCAACTCATCAAGACAACTTGAAGAAGTTGATTAAATATGGTAGCCCGATGCACAAAGCATCCCACATTAACCCAGGGTCCGAGAAGGGCTACATTATGAGGATGTAATGTAGACAGCTCAATCTAATGCTTGCATTAGCAGACAACTTGAAGAAGTTGATTGTTTGTCCTTTTTCTTTTTAATTATAACTGTGAGACAAAGAGAAAATGACGGCGTCCATGGTGAAGGATAAAGACATGACAAGGGACTACCGTCAAACGCAACCGTCACTAATCGTGGAGACAATCTTCCTTAATACTCGAGAAACTAAAAAAGTATGTCTACTCTTTTTAAGTTTTAGAAAGTTTAAATACAATATCGAAGTCAATAAATAGAAAAATAATGAGCATACATATATATATATATATATATATATATATATATATATATATATATATATATATATATATATATATATATATATATATATATATATATATATATATATATACCTATCAAGTCGGAGGGGGTCTTAGCATTGCTAAACCTTCCAGTAGGTTTTCCACCCATGAAATCCTTCCCATATGGCTCAAAATTACATTTAACAACTGTTGCTATGTGATTATTGTTTCCTTGATCAACAATGGAATCTCCGAAAGCAAAAACAGCCCTCACTGTTACATTTTCCGGCAGCTGCACTTTCCCTTTACATGAGGCAACAAATAACAGAAATAAAACATGGACCAAAATTATTTTACGTGACAAAAACACCAAACAAAAACACGACATTTTAAGAGATGTCAGCAAAGTTTCAGACACTTTTTGTTTCAAGAAGATGAAACAAAAATAGCCTGGTTTGGAAAGCTTTAAATAATTATGGAATTGAGTAGTAATGGCCGTGGTTTTTTGTTTATTTATAGATGGCTAGAAAAGGATACATACGTTATTATATTGACTATCTTAAGGGCTTGGTCAATCAGCCTTTATTAGGTTTGTTAATTGTGTCTTAAGTTATATACTAATATTAGTAATTACTACTACTACTGCTACATACTTAGAGGGAAGTAATTAATGGTAGAGGAAAAATCAATAATCATGAAATGCATGAGATAAAGGTCTTTGTCAATGGCTTAATTTAGCCTTTTTAGCTTTTGCTTAGCTGCAGTCACATTAGAAAGTGACAGAATTATTACTACATTAAAAAGTTTCCTCTTTTTATTTACCTACTTCCTCTATTTTTCAAGTATCAAGCTAACTATAGACACATCAAATTAATTAATCAACCAAAAATGCGCCGACTTGTTTGGCTTATGGAATAATGAAATAGAATTAGAGCATATTAGGTCAGACCATATCGTATATTTGGCTAATATGAGGTTTTGAGGGCACGTGTCCATATCGTGTCCATCTAATTAATTTAACCAAGATTTTAATTTGCATGGGGACAGGGGCGGAGTTAGCCACTCTATTTACGGGTTCGGCCTAATTCAGTAGCTTTTGTGCTTTTCTTGTGAAATTCATGGAATAGACCCAATAACTTAAGAAAAACTAGAATCCCGGACTTATAAGCTTCAAATCTTGGTCCTGCCTCTGCATGAGACATATTTTGTATAATTTGTACAACAACCAACCAGTGGAGTCTAAAGAAACATATTTGTACAATAAAATTAGTAAATATATTAACATACATAACATGCAAAATCGTGCACGAAAATGCTGTCTAGCAAATTAGTTTGGTCAAAGCCTATTTATCTCTTGAAAAATAATTGTTTGATGGAGAATAAACAGTCAGGGAAAAGAAGAAGAAAAGAAAAGGAAATTGGATCTATCTAAGACAGAATGAGCTGGAAAAATCAAGATTACATAGAGGAATGAGCACATTAAAAAAATTCGTCTTTTTTCTTTCCCAGCCATCATATTAGAACAAAGAATCAAAATCACTCTGCCAAGTACCAACTTCTGGTTTAAAGTTTCCAATTACCCATCCAATAAGTTTTCCTTTATAATTTGTTCATTTGATAGAGGTGAAAAATAATTTCTGAAAGTTAAAATTATGTTTGGGCATGTATATTACTTGAAAAAAAGTTGAAATTTTGTGAATAGAAAACTTAAAAAAAACTAATCTAAGCCACTTTTTGAAACTTGAAAAATTCATCTTCAAAAGCTTTCCAAAAACTGGTCAGTTTTTATAACAAAACAATGTTTTTAAAATATTTTTGAAAAAAAAGTGAGGAAAAAAAAACTTATGGCCAAAAGGGACAGGACTTCTTGATTACGAAAATATATGTAACTTGAGTTTAATTCTATTGGCACACGCTACACAAAAAATTATTTACACAATCAACTGATCAATTCACGTATAAAGTTTGTACGTAAATTACTATATTAAGATATTAATTGATAATCTAGTAGAAATATACATAATTAGTCTGCTATCTCGGATTAAACTACAGTAAAAACCTACATTGTGAGTATATATAACTTAAATTCATACTCCTTAAGAAAATTAATCCGGAAAAGTTCCATATGAAACGGATCGTTTATGCAAAGGAATCTGAGAAGAGAAATGCTTTCATCGTATATAGAAAATTATTTAATTAATTTAACTTATATACCGTCAAACCTCTATGTTGTACTCTGTTTGTTCGTGATTATCATAGACATGTCACATGTCATAAAAAACTCGTAGATTATTCTCGTAGTTTTAACCAAATTGTACTATTGGTAAATATACTTCAAGTGTGTTTATGAGCTGAGTTGCCTCTAATTTCCCAGATGCTTGTTCTGAAATGCGGATAATAATTATAAGATGAAAACAGAAGCACGCATGTAGTAGTAAAACTCAATTATATATGAATAGGTATGGAGTTGATATAATTAAATGTTAAACTAGTTGGAAATAGTAAACTTAAATGTTTAAGTATTTAGGTTCATTTGTCTCTATAATTATCCTAGGTGCATAATCTTTTCTAGATATTCTCCTATATGTATGACTTTATGTTATGATCGATCAATATGACCAAATTCATGGTGTATGTGAAAGTATATATTTAGTAGGTGTGAGCCTATAAGCGTCCTTTGGCACCTTTAACCCCCCCATTTGTTATGTTGCTTTGTAGAGTTAAGTTTATCATAATATTGCCGCTGTCGAAGAGCCTAGCTAGCTTATATTCCAACAAAAACATGAGCTATTTTTTTGTTCGACACGTTATTAATTGGTGGCCTTTTTAGTTTCTAATTGAAAAAGTTTACTTTCTTTCAAGAGCATGCATGGAAAGATTGTGAAGAAAATAATACGTGCATGAATCAGTTTTGTGTGGAACGGATTCTTATTAATTATTATTTTTAAAATCGATAATACCTTTAATATTGTCAGATATTTTAGCAGAAAAATGGAGTTTCATAATCAATGCACCAAACGGAGTAATCTGTTGAACCCTCATAGGCTCGAACGATTTCACAGGTTTCCAGTGACAATGTAAAACAGAAGTGATACATCATAAATAGATGTATATGTATATGATAAGAAATCATAAGTCTTTCTTTTTCCTTTATCATTACTTCTCACGTTTAAGAACTCAAAAGCAACTAAGAGTTCAATAAATGTACGTAATCCGTATAGATTTTGTATATCTGGACTAGTTCATATTCATTGAACAGCTAAGAATATATAGGAGTAAACATGTTCTGAATTATTAAAAATTGGAACAATTAATCTAAATAGTCATTGACCCAATCGCTTAAATTAAAAATAGTCGATGATATATATATATAGTAGTATCTATAAACGTGTGTTGCACGTTAATAATGGCAAATGATGATTTAAACATTTATTGATATAAAGGACAATAAAATTTAATTAATGAGAGAAATTTTACGTATAACAATACAACAATCATCTAAATGCTGAAAAACATTATTATATTAGCATAATACATGAATTTAAAATAAAATGACATCATCAAAACTTAGACAAATGATCAATTTTGTCATGTTAGTTAGATAATTATATATTATAGTTTAAAAGTATTTAATGTTATGGTATCTTAACGAACATTTCTTTGTGGACAATTTTTTTTCTTTTTGTGTATGTTTCCTCCTAATGCGTTGGTTGCTCTGCCTTACCCGGAACTCTTGTTGCCGATCTTGATATCCCTCTTGAAAGTGAAACATACAGTTGTTCTTGCAAGAAAATATATTTGCGGTAAATATAGTCCGATATTTAAGATGTTTGTCCTTGTGCTTTATTTATTATATTTATAAAACATAAACATACTAAAAATTATTTTCACGTAAATTTAAACGGATATTCCTTTGTTTCGAAAGACGAAAGTTGAATTCAGGGCTAAGAATATACTTAGAAGCATGTTAACCAGTATCATAATTTTCTCATGTATGACGCTATTGTCAAAACTTCTATATACCATCTTTGTGCTATTACACAAGCTATTTGACGTATCTAAATTTTTCAGTAGCATGATAAATATATTTTTCTTCAAAATTAACCTACATACAATCGAAGATCAATTTTAACTTAGTCTATTATATATACTATGAAATTAACATACGCAAGAAATAAGAAACTTGACAACAAACATGCATGGTAGAAGGTCATTTGGTATAAAAATATTTAAGTATTCTTCTTGGTTGTAATTATTGGTATTATTTTCTGCTGAGTCAAAAACTGAAAATTTGTTTTTACTATAAAATTTTGCAATCAAATTTTTATTTAGTTGATCAACATATTCATTTCTGCTAGCTAAGATATCATTTTAATTCTATCGTGCGATTTGCATAAATTGCATTTTAATCTAACCATAGAAATATTTCTCTTATTAAATGCACTACTATTACCATTGGGATTGATAATAAGTGTTTAAAAAGAACCAAATCATCTTTTATTGGATGCTCTTCTTCGTTTCCTACACGAAGCAAGAAGACACTGAATACTGGATCTGTTCTTACTTTATATTTTCTGTCAGTTGAATCTTTTTCGTTTGAGGCCAGAAGTATAACTTTGGCAATCTAGCTTTTACAATCCCTGCTTTTGTCGATTTTGGAACTAATGGCGGTGCTTGACAGAAATCACCTCTCAAACCATTAATTTTTCACCAAACGGCTCATTAATATCCAATATATCTCTAGAACTCCGGACAATTATTTCGATCATTTGACACTTAGCCATAAGTGTTTCATCCCATATTATCAATTTTGTTTTCCTTATAAATTTAGCACCATTGATCTGCTTTGATATATTTGTGATGTTATTCAAGTTGTTTGAAGAGGTACATCAAATCTAAAGTGGGTGGTCTCACAATAAAATCGTTGTCGGTACACCACTTTTATTGTTGCTAATAGTGTCATGCCTCTTGATATGATATTTGCAAGTAATGCATGACATAGAATTATTATTTCGATTCCGTCGGAGGCATATACAAAGAATAATTTCGTTATACCAGAGTTGACTCTTTATAATATAATCTTGAAAGCTTGTTCTTGTTTAGGATTAGCTTTGATTATGCTTCCTCATACACTTGTATAGCATTTTGATTCTTAATAATATACTAACCTTTTTACTTTGTGTTCTGACGCTCATTTTATGGAATAAATTTATGTACCCTTGTGAGCACGTGATTTTTGTTTCGCACGACAATCGCTCCAAAGGAAATAAAAAATAATAATAATTGGGCCCGTTGTACAAATTTTGGATTTTTACATGGCACTTTGTTGGTTATTTGCGATTTTTGCCCATTTTTACTTTATTAAAACAAAATACAAAAAATGTGTGTGTCATGCATAATTCGAACCGTAATCCGGTCGTTGAATAGAAAATCATGAATAGGCATCTTCGTCCGTGATTTTATTTTGTTTGATTTTACCT